GTCATCTGAGCTTCGGCATCTTGCCGACTTATTCGAGATGTATCCAGGTTATCTGATGTCTTCGAAGTCTGGATACTACGGCGTAAAGAACCCGCAACATATCCCAAGAGAGCTCCGCGGCCGAGCTCGGACGTGGAAGAAGTCCAAGTCGTACATGATGTATCATCATCCAGTATTGGTGCCTCACGACGTCTGCTTTCGGATATTCTCCGTATTCTTAGAGAATATACGTTTGCCGACGAGGGACGAGGACGACAAAGAGTCCAAGGACCAAAGAATGGAGAGGAAGATAGCCACCATGATTCCTGCGGACCTTCGACAGGATTTTCGCACAGCTGCGGAAGGCATCGACTCCATAGGCACCTACGAGGGCAGCTTCCCTCGCGCATGGTCTTCGGCATACGAACAGGACTATGTTGACTTTCATAGGGAAGTTTTGAGGGATTGGTGGACGGTCAGCACGGAATCCAGGAAGTACGGGAACTTCTTCCCCGCAACCCCAAAGGAGATGGCATGGCTGGATTCCTTCCTGCGCTGCGTCAAATGGATCGAATCTCACAACGTCATTTGGGCAGAAGACTTTCAAAAGTATCCCTCAAGGTACTACAACCGTTCCCGGAGGAGTATTGACATGAATACCTACGGGAAGACGACACCACCGAAAACAGAGATGTTACTTGAGCTGTCCGACTTTCGAGATTTCATCGACAACGCGCCCGTGGAGGAGGTAGCTAGGCAACTGCAAGCCGACCACGACCTGTCAAAGCACGGCCTGTCAAAGGGAACAGAGACGGCGAGGCTCCCGAGCCTCAACGCCCTTTACATGCCCAAGTGGCCCTCGGCGAGGGCTGTAGAGGTGGCCAGATGCATCTGGCCTGAGGGATGGGGTCAAATATGGGACCGCCAAACAGCTGGATGGCGATACAATAGCATGATCAAGTCCATCGAGGATCGACTCAAGAAGCCTCATCAGAAGGAGGCCGCAGATGGACTGAAAAGCGAAGACATTCAGGGATACCGGAATCAAATTCCCCGGCGACAATTGTGTTATGTCTGCAGCAGGTCGGTCAGCCAGGAGCAGCGGCACAAGACACTGGGATCGATGTGCGTTGCATGCGGCGATTTCAATCTAGTCGAGAGAGCATATTCGATGCCGGGACACCTTTGGCTGTTGCAAAAGACGGCGCTCGTGACCGGCGCGCGCATCAACTTGGGCTTCCATACAGCTCTGCGCCTGCTCCGCTGCGGCGCGTTCGTCATCGCCTCGTCGCGGTACCCGGAGGACGCCTTCTCGCGCTACCAAAAGGAGCTCGGTTTTGAGGACTGGAAAGACCGGCTCAGGATCGTCGGGGCAGACTTCAGAGCGGCAAAAGACGCCTTCGCACTGGTCGAGACCACGAAGGCTATACTGCGCAAGGAAGACCGGAGGCTCGACATCTTGATCAACAACGCCGCGCAGACTCTCACTGATCCTATCAAAAAGGAGCAGATCGCTACTACCCGAGAGCAGGAGCTACTCGAGCAATCGGGGGTGTCAGATGCTGTCAACCAGGTTGTTGTGCGCAGCGAAAATACCGCGCGGGTTCGTGGTGGCGCGACTCTGCCGGGAATTTCTGGCCCGGATATGAACCTTCTTGAGGCATCGTCGCCAACGGACTCCGCTGTCATAGAGACGCCAATGTCGAATACGCAAATCTCTTTGCCTCCAGGGCCGTCTTCATGGGTCCAGTCTCTCTCCGACATCCCATACGAGGACGTCATAACAGCGCACAGCGTCAACACCTTCGTGCCTCTCATACTGATTCGCGAGCTGCTGCACGGCATGGAAGATGGGCACATCATCAACGTGTCATCGAGAGAGGGCATCTTCGAGACGGACCGCAACAGTTCAGCCAAGAGGGGCCACCACGTGCACACCAACATGTCCAAAGCCGGGCTCAACATGATCACCGAGACCGAGGCGGCCACGGCCTGGAAGAAACACAAGGTGGCCATGAACACCGTGGACCCCGGATACATGAGCGCTGCGCCCGAGTACGAGGACGCGCGCGGTGGCGAGAGACCCATTGGATGGGAGGACGGCGCGAGCCGAGTATTGTGGCCCATTGCGAGGAGCGTCAGAGAGCAGAAGGACCCGGAGACGATGCTTGTGAGAAAGGATTATGCGCCGATGTGGGGCCGGTTCTTGAAGCATTACGGTGCGGTACGTGTCGATGCTCGTATATCGCAGTAGGCGGACTCCTCAAGACAACGGGCTAAGTAGTTTAGGAGACTGGGTACAAAGTGAGAGCAACATTAATACCGTGTATGCAATCACCTCTGGCTGACGAGAGGAATACATTATAACTAGCATGGCTGTCATCTCTGTTGTCCCCTTTTAAGCTGACCATCCGCATAATTCAGTGCCCCTGTGATGTATTCAGCCTGTCGAACCACTGTCAAAACCAGAATTAGCTAGTTATAGGGTACGATCTGGTCTTGAAAGATGTACTTCCAGACCGTAAAGCACATACCATGCGCATTTGAGTCCCTTCCGGCAATTTTCCGTGTCGGCGCCGGCTCCGATCCGATGGACCCACTTATCGCCGGCGCATCACCGGGCTGCCTCTGTCGAGCAGCTACGGCGATCTTTTGGAGTCAATCTGGTTGGCTATGATTCATTGATATATTTTGATGCTCTGTACGAGACTGGACGAGCTCAATCGTCAATGGAAGTGCGTATGGTGGTGTCGACGCAGGTGCAGAGGTCGTTTGCTGTGGACGTGACAGGGCCTAGTTGGATGTGAATACCTAAAGAAGGTCCACCGGGCAAGTCAAATTTCCCGATATCTTTGAATTCTCAATCTCTTTCCCAGTACCAAAGCAGGCCAGAGGTCAGAGGGAGAGCAGCAAGACAACAGCTTTGTGCTGGGGTTGTTTGTTGCTCCGGTAGCTGCTGCACACGCATGTTTGGCCTGTCCTGAATGAGCAAACAAGAAAGGCATGTCCAAGGTTCAGAAAACGCGTTGGCGCTTATCTCTTGCTTTCTTTTCAAAATTTCTGGTCGCTGGTTTGAGAGATGCTACCAGTCTCTCGCTGCACCCGACTTCTCGAAGCTTCGTCGACTGGAGGCTGCCGTCAACAATCGCTCCTTCCAAATGGGAGTTCGTTCTTTTCCGTTCTCTCTCATTGGGACTTCACAGAGAGCCCCACATAACGAGGGCTTGCCGGCTACCTTACCTACCCGCGATCCCATACTCCTGGGGCTGCCACCGAAGGTCTCGCAAACCCATTTTCCCCGACAACCACACAACGTCCACGATGCCCGAAACTTCCGTCTCCGAAGCGGCGCTTGCTGCCGTGCCTGATGAAGTTCGCTGGTGTCTCCGGTGCTTGGGATGGTATGCAGGCGAGTTCAAGGGCAACCGTGGACAGTTCTGTCAGGACGTCGACTTCGCATGCTCAGGAGCAGTCGGAGGTAGGCGCGCCGCTGATCTCCCTGGGTCTCCGTGAAGCAGCCACAAGCTCACATCCTCGCAGGCCCCGACGAAAAGTGTGCGCGATGTCCCCCAACAGCAAAGCACACATGTCTGACAGTGAGGAACCTTCGGCTCCTACTGGTACAATTCCTGATAACATTCCCAGATTCCGGATTCTGTGTGGAAGCTCGCCCGAGAAATCATTGCTCACCGTCGAGCCATGGTCGATTTTGAAAAGAAGAACCCGATGAGAGACGTTAGTGCTGCAGTAAGTACCCTTGTTAGATCTGCTTAGCACGTCGCCATAACTAACGATTGCCTCGCAGGACCGTCGGGCTCTGAAGGCCGACTTCAAGATCGTCAGAGACCGTACCCGAGAATACTACAAAGACAGCGAGAGGCGCGATTCGGAGCACGTTGAAGACTCTGAAGACGAAGACGATGCGCCCCCACGCCGAAAGCGCCCTCGCCGTTACGCCTCCGGCATTCTGTACGACGAGTTCCACGCTTCTGAGCCTGAGACGGTATGCGACGAACACGGCCAGCAAGAGCGAGCCAGCGCGAACACGCACGCTGACGATGACCTGCAGAATCGTCCCCGAGCCAGCGTCGGCCCTCGAGTTCAAGGGAGGTCGCCTGCGGTACCTGATGGTACCGAGCAACTTCTCCAGGCTGCTAGCAATGCTGTCAAGAAGGTGGCCAGGCTCACTGCCATCAAGCCCGAAGCCGACAAGCGCTTTGCAACCGCGGCTCTGCAGTACTTCGGACTAGGCCCCAACGTGCCGAACAACCAGGCGCCGGGCGTTTCCCAACTGCTGAGACAGACTGGTCATCACGCAGATGGCGCCGCTCGCGAGGCTGCCGGGGAGGTTTCGAGGATTTCGGGGGAGCTGAAGGATGCGCACACTCGCCTGGGCGAGGCCGTGTTCGCTATCGTGGCATTTGGAGGTGTCCCGCCTGAGAGATCAGGGGACGAACCGATCTTGGGTGTGCTTCGGATGCTGGGACAGAGAGATGGTCAATAATCGCTGGCTTGCGGATCGGGCAGTGGAGCGGAACTGTCGGAGAAAAATAAAGGTGAACCAGGCAGCATGGTAGTGGTCCTAGCAGAGGAGCAACTTCGTCGTTGGCTCCTTGTCGCCAATGTCAGGATCGGTACCTAGCTAGGCATACGGGCTATATGAATTGGGTGTACTCGCCGAGAACCAAATCGCGAATAGAGTATATGTATTCTCAGGAATCTTTCGACGCTGCCGGTCTCAGCTTGTTCCGCACGTGTGTTTTCCTCCTTTGACCCACCTTCAAGGCATCATATCGAAAAAACAAAAACAAGTCGACCCTGCGGCCTCGAGGCAGCCACCCTCGCTTGGTCTCTCCCGTGTCCTCGTCTATCTTCTTCTCCTTCGTCCATCCTATTCACCTTCCTTGCCCTCCTCTTCTGCTTCGCCATCCTCTTCTCCCTCCTTGCCCTCCTCTTTTGCCGTTCCGCTTCTGTTCACCACATAGCAGCATCTTTCCAGACACCCTGTGCCTCCCGCCGTGATGGTCTCATCACACTTTGGCCCTGCACTTGCTACCGATATCGAGACTCGCTGGTGTCTCCGGTGCTTGAAGTGGTACGCCGGCAAATCCAAGAACAACCGCGGGCAAGAGTGCCAGGAGCTTGATTTCACGTGCAGCGGAGCTTCGGGAGAAGGTAGCTACCTCTTTCCGCTCTTGCCACTTGTTGCTGACTCCCTGCCCAGACAGATGTGAGCGGTGCGTCAAGTTGGGAAAGTGCCTTATCGTCAGTAGCACCTTCAACATTGCCATCCAGCACACGTACTGACCAAGTGCTAGATCCCTCCGTCGCAGTGGCTTCGCGCCCAAAATGTCATCGCTCGTCGTCGCGCAATCTTGGAGTTGCGCCAGCTTCATCCCGACGCGGAGATCAGCCCCGACGTAAGTCTCTTCTCAACCCAAGTGAACGCGTTTGCTGACTCTCGAGGATACTAGCGCTGTAGTGCGCGCCCTTGCAGCTGTCCAGTCTGGCACCGAGAATTACTACAGCCGACTCGAGAAGAACGATGATAAGGACGATGATAGCGACAGCGATGATGCCCACGAACACGACGTCCACACCGGCTCCTTACCCGCCGATGCTGATACACTCGTCCTCGACGCTCCGTGCCTACCGTGAACTACTCTCGGTCCGCCTTGTACCCCGCTGAGACACTCGAGGCCTTTCGCTCGGCAGGCAAAGACAAGGTCTCTTCGAAGACCTCCGCATCGAACCCCGCAGCCGCCCTCATCCCTCGCCCTGTCAGCCGCCAGACTCCCATTCTACCTAGCGCAGGTCCGGCTGAGCCCGTCCCGGCTGGTTCAGCCGTCCTGGACCCCGGCGGTGTTGCCGGCGCCCTCGCCGTCTCTCGGCATGCAACACCGGCACCTGCTGCTGCCATGGCTGCCCCAGACCGATTAGCGCGAGTAATAGAGGCCATCGGTGAGGTGTCCCGTCTGACGGCCGCTCGGAATGAGGCCATCAACCGCTTAGGAGAGGCATTCTTCGACGCCGTTGTGCCAGGAGAGCCCGCACCTGTCGCACGTCTGTCGGAAAATCAGGTGCAATATGTCCTGAGAATGCTGGGCCAGGACGGTGGGAACGTTGGGAATGAGTGAGCTCCACGAATGGACTTCGTAGAGGAGGCAAGACCCCTCTCACGGAGAACAGAAGCAGAGGGATGACAATGGCAGGAAAGGACGACGCCGGCGACGACAGCAGAGACCACGGACAGTGGTCAAGAGTAATGGTCGTGATGTAGCGCAAGGGAGTTGGCTATAGATCGTGGGCATGTTTGGTGGCGTGTCACAAACTCACGATAGCTTTGACTAAATGAATTAAACCCCTTAAACCCCTATGCCATCGCCATGTCACCACCCCCATGTGGCGTAATATGTGGCTATAGTGGCGCAGCAGCACAGCAAGCCGGCAATGCTGAGTACCAATTCGCTGCCGAGATCTTCAAATAAGAACTTAGATATGGACAAATGATTCCTTTCGTTTTTGGATACATGGAGAGCCTACTGCAATTGACTTCTCCTCCAAACTGCATATTCTGGTCTGGCGCATGCCAAGCCTTGGACGCCACACTTCGCACATAGCAGGTTCTAGGCCTAGCTTGAGCCACACCACGACGTCATAGAGCCATCACTGGCTGGCACGCAAGGGAGCTCTAGCTCCGGTAGCTCAGCTGAGGTAGCTGCGCGACAGCCAGATCGCGATTGCCACAACTAAATAAAACCTGGCCGCCGGCCTATGCCACTTTTACCCAGCAGTTACTTTCCCCAGCTGCTCTCGCGATCTTTGTTTACGACATCAACGCCATCCCGAGAACCGCAACCCGACATCGACCCCGCACATCGCACATCGCTCATCACCATGGCCGACCAACAGACTGTCGCCGAAGGGCAAGCCTCCGGTTCCAACAGCCGCAACCGACGAGTGGCCAACTCGGTGCAGGCCAAAGCCCAGGAGGTCCTGTATGTGCCACCCCTGAACTTCCATGAACGTCCGACGAACGCTGACCAACGTGTAACAGGCAGGAGGACTACGACAAGGCGAGAGGTCTCGTCGCCGACGCTGCCAAGAGCAAGTCGTACCTGTATCCCATCAAAGGCATCATCTACTTCGCCACGCACCGAGCGCTATGGAAGCCTCTGATGTCGCGCATCGGGGCCTACATCCTCCTGTCCGCTGGTGTTGTGACCGGCATGTTCGTCTTCACCTACGTGCCACAGCTTGCTATCCTTGTCTTCGTCAACGGTCCTCTGGCAGTCTTCACCACCGTGCTGTTGATCCTGAACGAGAGCTCGACAATCATCAACTTCGTCTCACGATCGTACCTTCTGCAAGAGGCGCTTTTGGATACCTTTGACGGCACCTTGCTTTCGAGGGACGAGGATGGCATCGTGAAGGAGGGAAGACAGGTCCGCCCTGGCTCTGACCCGATGCAGAAGCTGGGCAAGATCCTCAAGAATCCGTTCGAGAGGTTCAGCCCGAAGGCTCTCATCCGCTACCTAGTCTACCTGCCCCTGAACTTCATCCCCATCGTGGGAACGGGAATCTTTATTCTTCTCCAGGGTATGTCGACGGAACCACTCGTGGCATAGTCAAGCTAACACATCACAGCCCGAAGCCGGGGCCACAGTGTCCATGGACGCGTACGTATCTCCTGATCGACTCCATCCGCAAGCTCCTGTCTGACTTTTGTTGTTTAGTACTTCCAACTGAAGAACTGGTCCGCTTCCCGGAGGGCCGACTGGCTTAAGAGACACACTGGGCCTTACACGGCGTGAGTTTGGTCTATTTGCGCGTCCGCTATACGGCGTACTGACTAGCATGGTGCAGTTTCGGCCTCGTGGCAACTGCGCTTGAGATGATCCCCTTCGTCAGCATCTTCTTCACATTCACAAACACGGGTAGGTGTGCTCGAAGCTCCTGCCGAATGTCACTGACAACTGTCGCTAGTTGGTGCTGCTCTGTGGGCTGCCGATATCGAGTCCAAGAACACGTCCATGACCGACGGCACGGCTCCCACTCTTCGCGAGACGGCCAAAAATGCCGAGTAGGCGACGACGCACAGCATTGTGGAGCCGACCTCACCTGCACCGGCCGAGGACATGCTTCAACTTGGCACCCAAACGATGCGGGCCCCCCTCGTTTCTTCGGGTAATGGTACCACGGCATCTTGACAGCAGTCTTGAATCTTGTGTTCCTTTATCGAACTCGGCTCGCGGGTCTTTCGCGGCGAGATCTCACGGACAGGTGGGGGCAATGAGAGAGACGGCCTTTGCGTGCATTAGCATGATGGAATTCGGTTTGGCGTCCTGGGGTAGGTCTTTGGGAAAGGTACATGGAAATTTCGAGGAGAGCGCATGAAATAATTGTTAATGATGATTTGGAACTTTACGAATGACTGCAGATATCGACAGATGACTTTCGCGCACTAATCTGGGCTGCCGCGTCTTGTCTCGCAGTCTTAGAGGGTCCTTTCACGTGTCCCCAAGGCTTCACCTGCGTAGCTGCCACTCAATAACGATTCTTACACAAGCAGCTGTCTTGAGCAGAAGCAAGACGAAGCGACATCAAGAGATGAATGACTCTAGTTGCTGGAACGGACACTAATCGGTCCTGAGACGAGACACCGCGAGCCCCCGCACTGAGGACATTGGTCTTGTCACACACTGTTCAGGCACAAGCAATCTCGTTTGGCAGTACACGGCTACCCACAGGCTGCGCGATCTTCAACTGAACACTGTCCACATACCGTCCCGTCTGTCACCCAAGAAGACCGGAAGAGGAAGGCCCCTGAATTCAAGTCCGGAGAGCCCGTTGGGGCCATGCCTCAGCTCCGTTGGACGTGCATCCGTTATCAACATGTTACCGCAAGTGCGACTATGGGAAATACGATACCATTTGGTGTTGAGCGTCATGTCACGCTGTGCGTGGTGACTGATAGTGGATGTGACGATGCGTTGAACATGAGGAGAAAACGAGACTCGGATCATGGTCGCTTCTTTCATCACGGCAAGCTCAACAGATGGCGACCAGATGGGCTTCTCGGAGCAGAGTGTCTCGCGTCGGAGATTCGATTGTGCGCTCTGGCGAAGACAAATCAGGAGATGTATAGACAGTGGCGGAGGATCGCAAGTGAGGCCTCATCGTGAAGCACCTCGAGCTTCATCATCGGATCTTTGCTTGCTGGGACGGGTGGCGATGGTGATCGACCGAGGCCGTAGCCCGCTATGACTAGTGCTGTTACCGGCAAGCTCACCGATGGCAGCAGCTCAGTTGAAAGGAACGTTGTGCTATCGTGACCGAGCAAGTCGGAATCCACCCTGATCCATCCGATCCAACCATGTACAGCTTCCCTGGATCGCTAGTACACGGCCACAGTGTATCTTCCATTTCAGAGTGGGACTTCGACTTGACTGTTTCTGGGACGAGTCGGAAGCAGGAGTATGATGTAAGGCCGGGGCGGGGACGATCAAGTGCGGAAGACGCGCCTTCCTGGGACGCAATGTGTGACCGATGATTCTTGAGATGAGCAAAGAGTGACTTTCGCTAGAAAGTGTGCGGAAAAAGCAGTGTATCCTTCGCAGGAGGGCGTCTCTCCATCGAAGATGTCGCGACTTGTGCCTATATGTGCTCTACCCCCGCGGTTCGTACCCACTGACCTTACTTCCAACTCCCCTTCGACCCCGCCTCTCCTTCCTTCTCTCCCTTTACAACCTCTTTCTTCCCACTCGAACCCGAGTGCTAAGGTTTTCAACGTTCGTTCCTCCTACCAAAGGCTTTCACTCATTCTATCCGCATCTACGAGCAAGAGCAGCCGGCAAGCCCTCGAACGCGACTGCCAGGTTAGTCTTCCTCCCCTTCCAACCAAAAGCGGAAAGGTCTAACCTTCCGTCAGCTCATCGACATGAGAGTTTCGAATCTCATCGCCGGCATCGCGTCGGTTGCTGCGCTGCTCCCGTCTTTGGTGGGCGGCACTGCAGCTTCCTCTTTTGAGGTCCATGCCCAGCAGGACGAGGTCCAGTCCGCAGTCCTCCACAACCTGGAACACCATGCTCGAGACCCTCAGGACTCTGATGATTTTCTCAGCTACGACTATGGATACTCGGACCCTCCTCCGCCTCCTCCAACCACCTATGGCGAGGAGTCGTCGACAGAACAGTATGGTGCTACTACCACCGATGGTTCGTTCCTCCATTTAGAATATGTGCGCGGTTGACTAATTCTCACCTGGAAGAATACTCAACAAAAGCCAGCACGGCGACAAGCGCGAGCGGGACATCTAGTAACTCTTACCCTGCCTCTGCCAGTGCCACTGCTACCTCTGGATCATCTTCCGCCTCTTCGGATAACGCCACTACCTACCCACCTACGTCCGCCTCTTCGGGCGATTCTTCATCGTCAAGTAGGTCATCCGGTGCTGTCTCATCACCAACCGCGACAGATACTGAGTCGGGTACCCTCACAACAGTCTCAGAGACATCCACAAGCTCAAGCTCAAGCTCAAGCTCAAGGCGAACGTGGAACACCACGACTCTTGCGCCGTCTCCAGCCGTGAGCTCCTCAATCTCGTCTGCAACATCAGTCGGCTCCTCTGCCAGCAGTAACACGACTGTAATTGCTTCCTCGACATTATCCGGTTCAAGGTCTGCCACTCTGGTACCGCCGTTCACTGCGTCCAACTCGTCAGTGACTACAACTGGTACCGCGCCAGGGACATCAATCTTGCCAAGTTCGCTCTTCAACACATCGTTCCCTGCTGGCCCGACTTTGACGCAGCCTGTTGAGTCCCCATGGTCGACTTGGAACTCGTCTGTCATTGCCTCTCCAACGTCTTCCGGAGTGTCCCAATCTACCACCTCAGGAAACTTCACGTCCATATCTGACATCCCGATCCCTCCAGCATGGACGTCTGGTACCACGACCCGGGCTTCAAACTCGACGAGCCCATCTGCAACATCAACCGTCCAGGGCTCGACCACGGGACCAGTCACGGTAGTCCCGTCTGGAGTCTCCGGTTTACCGTCAGGTTCTGCGTCTCCCACAGAAACGAATGTTCCCTTTCCGTTCCCCAATTCGACGATCACCATCTCTACTAAAGGCACAATCCTCACCTCTACAGTGCCGAACACGGCATCCGTCTTTCCAACAAGCCCTACTGCCGTGCCTCCTTTCCCCGCAAATTCCAGCTCCATAATCTGGCCGAGTGGCACCATTGCCTCCATCACTGAAGAGCCTGAGCCCTCGTCAACTTCACCTTGGAACAGTACTTTGACCTCGTCACCAGTCATATCAGGAACCGGCCCAATTCTTCCGCCGTCCCTCAACTCAACACTCTCGACCAGCGCTAACGCTACCTGGACGGGGACGAGTCAATCTGCGGATCCAGCGACGTCTACGTCTGGTGTTTTCGTGCCCCCGTGGCCTGTTTCCAATTCTACGACCATACCTAGAGGAACAGGAACAGGAACGGGAACGATTCTCACGACAACTGGGACTGCAGCGTCTTCACGCCCAACTCCCACAGCGCCATGGCCTGCGTTCAACTCAACCACAGTATCCCTCACAGGAACAGTTTCCATCCCGGTGATTACATCGTCGATAATCGTCGGCACGGGGTTCTCAAGTCCCTCCAGGGTATTCACTTGGACAAATCACACCTCGGGTGTTCCAACTGGCAACATTACGGGTACTGGTGCAATCACGGCGACGGGGTCAGCAACCGCCACCACTCTTTGGCCAAGTGTGAACACCACGTTGAGCTCTCAACAGAGCACGACTCCGTCTCCAAGCAATGGGACAATTTTGAATACCTCAACGTCGAATGCGACTCTCAGCACCACATCGGGAGGGTTTTCTACAACCGACGCTCCTCCGTTTCCAACCGGCAACTCCTCTGTCGTTCCCTTCCCGACTGGGTTCAATACATCGAGCATCTGGCTTTCCACAGTCATGTCGACCCTTGTTATACCCGTAGGAACAGGTTCTTCACCTATCGCTACGATCGCAGTTTCAACGGTGCCTAGGCCACCCTTTCCAAGCGTGAACGCAACATCTGCTGTTACTTCGGGCAATGCAACTTCAACAATTTCAGGAACCGGAGTCACCGCCGATCCCATATTGACGGGAATTTCTTCTACTGCTAATTCTACGACCTCACCAACACCTGCCTTACCACCCTTCCCGTCTGTCAACTCCTCTCGTCCAGCGAACACGATCATTACTTTCTCTGGGACAGGCACCACGGTGATATCGACATTGACGGCAGGTACTTCCAGCACCAACTCTACCACTTCTCCGTCGCTGCCTCCATTCCCGGTCACCAACTCTACTTCATCTCCGTCTACCTTGGGCAGCATCACGGGTACGATCCCAGGCACAGGCGGCACACCGATACCCACGTTGACTGGCGGGACTTCAGCTGGTAGTGGTACCGTCACAGGTCTTCCAACCCCGACCACAGAGCCACCGTTCCCAACTCGGAATGGAACGTCGACGGCAGAACCTACAGGAACCGCACCTCCTGAAGGATCTGGAACTATCTTCTTCACAACTGAGCCCCCAGAGACATCGAGCGGTCTCAACGCCACGGCAACGACGCCGCCATTCCCTGCTGGCAATATCACCGTGATCCCGGTATCGACTGGCAACGTAACTGTCACGTTGATCTCCAGTGCACCATCAGGCGCGGTCGCTTCGACATTGACAATCACAAGAGCCGACCGCCGCACCACGCAAACCCTTACAGTCTTGCGGTCTGCAACATTGACGCCGCCGTTCCCAACTTCAAACGGCACCATTGTGCCTACTGTCACAGGGACTGGTCCTCCACCTGGCACTGTAATTCCGAGCGTTCCCTTCAGCCAGTTGCCGAACTCAACATTCTCGTCGCTGCCATCTTTGTCGTCGTCGTCTTCGCTAGTCTACCCTCCCACTGGGTCTTCGACTACCCCTGTCACTTCCACCAACTCGACAGGGCCGACGGGGTCTTCAACACCATGCCATACTGTCACCGTAACCAGTGGCACGGTGACCCAAGTTATTACCAGAAGTGTTCTGGTCTCATCCATGCCAACCTGCACGTCCAAGTGGCAGAACACGACCTCTACAAAGCCCTCAACCGGTGCTACAAACAGTAAGTCTCAGCCTATTTCTCCACAAAGGCCAGTAAACTAACAAATATTCCAGGAATTTCCAGCAACACCGCCACGACTCTCATCACATCAACAACCAAGGCTTCGGTCTCAGCCGAGGGAGACAGTACCACCATGTTCGAGCCCGACGGCCCGGTGGTGCCGACTACCACAGTCAGCGACTTCACTCTGCCATCTAACAAGGCCTACCCTTGGGGTGGCAACGGACCCCTCTTCCGGCGTCCTAACACAACTGCCACCGACAGTGAGGAGGTTCCAGTCCGCCAGCCTGGTGGGTGGTGGTTGCGGTGGAAGCGGCATTTCGACCGATCGCGATCGAGCGCAAAGGACAGGGGGGCAGACGTGACTCACGAGACCTGAGAAGTACTGAAACACTGATCCTTCTTTCAACGTCTTCTTAATTTGCTTGAGGAACGATTATCTTTGGACATGGGAGAACCGCTTTTCGTCTTTATTTTCTCACTGGACGGGTAGGACATATACCTACACCATGATCTTCTCTGTAATAGTTAAAGGGCGTGTTGGAGTTTATCTTTTGCTAGAGTAATGGAATGAAAGTCGACGACCATGCAGTATGATGAAGTTCTCTTGCAAAACACACAACATCAAACACCCTTATTTACCACTTCTTCAGACAATATCATTCGAACCGAGAAAATATAGTACCGCCCCATTCGTTCAGACTTGAGAAGATATCAAGACACGGCACTGATTACCTCAGACGCAGTGCGTAATCACAAAGCTTGCGCCACGCTCTGGTCATGTGAACGCGGACAAAAGCCGCAGACGATCTGACGGGCTTCGTACGCAAGCTATTGACATGTGTATCACCGTCATTGGCTGACACTGCTTGCAAACCAGCATTCGCCACTCCGTGCCGCACGCCTGCCTCCGACGCCCGCTGCATCCAGAGCATTGAAGAAGTGTCAGGCCCCCCGAGCATCCGCCCGATAACTCGGAGATTTTCATCCCACGCAACAATCTTGCATCGAATTGCCTTTGCCGAACGGAGATGGCGCAGCAGGGCGGCACGTATAAAGCCCCGCCGAGTAAGTCCGACCTACCGACTCAAAGCTATTGTAACGGGATTGCTGACGGTCGTCCACAGGGTTTACCTTCTCCTTCGGCCGGACCCAGTCTTCCACCGAGCCCTTCACTGAAGATGATGGTTGTGTCGACGAGAAGCCAGCAGAGACCGACGCCGCTGACGAGAAAACTGCCGCTGCTATGACAACGGGAAAGGGTGCCAAGAAGGTGGAAGATGACGAGCGGGAGTGGGTGATTGTGCCTAGTAATCCGGAAGACGAGCCGGAGGAACGCGCGGAGCCGAGGGGAATCTTTGTGTCTTACGCTATTGGTTCACCATGCGGCTGTTCGGTGAAAGGCGAGTTCAGGCTGGGGTGGGGGAAGGGTGGTGCGCCGACTGGGGAAGGGTCATGATGGGCTTGGGTGTTTTGAAATTTGTGATGGTCTCTTTACTAGGGCAATGGCAATTCGTATAACAAGAACATGTTTGAAGAATTTCTGGGTATAAAGAGGTTTTAGGACGGAAGTGTTCTAACAAAGAAGAAAACAATCATGCCAACCGATCCGTGCCTCCAACATCCCGCCTCCACTGACATCAGACACCGCTTCGCAAAGTCCCGGCAAAACTTCCGGCCTCCATCCGGACTGCTTCCAGCCCGCCCACCCAGACTCACATGCTCAGCCGGAAGGATTGCACTTAAGGCGCCACGAGCTTTGCGGCGTGCAGACAATCTTTTCGTTGTACTTGAGCGCCGTCTCGGCCTTGTCGTCGCGCTGGTGGTTGTACGTGATCCAGATGCCCTTCTGCGCAATGTCCCTGCCGTCTGTGCTGCGGCAGTCGGCGTTCGCCTCGTTCCACCAGCCCGCCTTGAGCTGCAGCTCGTCGCGGCGGTTCTGCATCGCCCACTTGATGTCGCCCCAGCCGAGGTCGTTGCCGGTCCAGAGGCCGGAGCAGAGGAGGCGTCGGGCCGGGACCGTGGGGCCGGCGTCGGCTGGGGCTGGGGCGGCGGTTGCGCCGAGGGCGACGAAGAGGAGGGGCTGGAATTTCATTGTGGCTGGGTGCGGTTGGTTATTGAAGGTGTGATTTCGTGGCTTGTGTCGGGCGGGAGAGGGGATCTGGGGTTGGAGGTGCAGATTAAAGACGGGACGATGGTCAGGTCAGGCAAGACCGCTGGTCCAGGTATATATACAACGTTGGGCACGCGGATGTTCCTGCAGTTCGCTCTGATCGCAATTTGCAGAGCTTCATGTATGATATATTGCGTGGATCTAGAATCTAGTCTAACTTGCTAATGTCAATGACACTTTACCTTTTAGATCGTCTAGTGGGTGCTCATTGGAGCATCATGAACCATGGACGAAGACTGATTCAGTCACTGGTCGTTTGACCACAACCAGTATATTAAGTCCCGGTGGGATATTCAAGTCCCCATGTCTCCTTTCTATCGGCAAGCCCGTGCTCCCGAATCCCTCGCGTTGCCGGGTGGTACGCCTGAGTCGTTGTGCGTCAATTGCCTCGATGATGAGATGGTGATGGACGTGTTCTATGCCCGGGCAATTGAACGATTAGGTTGCCGACAGCCGCAGCAAGAAGTCCATGTAGCATCTTGCAGAATTTTCAACATACGGTGTGTGCTCGGACTTTCAAGACATTTGAGCTCGTGCAAGCGGCAAGCCTTGTGAGGAACAGCAAGCACCAAGGGTTCGGTTCTACACCTATCCCACGGTCTTAAAGGTTAGTGCGGTTCTTGCGGGGCTTTCCATATAACGAAGCCCCGCAAGTACTACGCTAACCTTTAACACCGTGGGATAGGTGTAGTTTGATGAAGCATTCAGGCCAAGCCCCGCAAGTTCATCGCAGCCACCGTAAGCGAAAAGCTTGTCTTATGGAACCCCCCAGGCCTTCAGTTGACAGTTGCTGAACCTGTGGGCCACGGTGTACCTGTCACTGACGGCATCGCCTGGCCATCGTGCGCATCGTCCCGAATGCGATGCTGTCGCAGGGTAGAAGACATTGATTGACTCGTCGGCAGCTTTGGGCCCTGCAGTGCCAATTATCCCGTCAGCTCCCTGTGTCGCCGAAAAGGAACTGCCTGACCAATGAAGATCAACCCATACTGAACAAGTTGCTCAATTGGTCTGGCAAAAAGAACATACAAGGGCGTCGGGTTATACTGGTAGCCATTTGATGGAATAGATGGCGAATGAGGGAAAAAGTCTTCACTGGATTAGCTGAACTCTCTTAGACCACAGTCGTTGACTTAGGCAGCGAGGCTTGTCGCTGCACGCTGGAGCTTATGCATAATCGACAGCATTTCAAATCTTCGCAGTTCGAGGAAGAAGAATGGGGAGCGATCCTGTTATCTTCTCGTGTTGCGCTGAGTCAGTCACTCATGGCCAACCCGAGCAGCTCATTCCCATAAGCAAATGCCTTCACGATACGCATCACGCTGGTTATTATAAACGATCATATCATCTTTCAGAAGTTGAGCTCGAATAATACAACACACTTTTATAACTGCGCAACTCAATCTCAACCCTTTTAATTCATACGAAGATGAAGATCAGTTCCGTCGTTTCCTTCCTCGCCGTCGCTGTCGCCGCCGCGCAGGCATGCGGCTACTGCCAGTGCCAGTACTCTGATGGCAGCCACTGCTGTGTAGCGCACGGCAACGGCAAGACATGCGACGAGGTGTGTAACGGTGCCGCCTACGGCGTCACCCTCGGCAGAGAAAAGTTGTACTGCAATGCTGCGGGCGCTTCTAACCGCATCCCATGGTCTTCTTACCAAGATCGGAAACAATGCATCGTGTGTAGTTCACAGTTCTTTATTCTGATTGTGGGGGGACTAACATTACATCACAGTAAATCTCCTCTTGGCCCATGCTGTTTCGATGATGGATGGTATGAGAGCATTTCTACGCGCAGACAAACGACCGCGGGATTCAGTTTGGTATTTGGGCGTCTGGACGGCTTTGAAAACAAGCAAGTAACTGAGGTGTTTGTTGGTGTCTGTTCTATAAAGAGCCTTCGGCCGAAGTTCAACTCACTCACGTCGTTGGATGGGACGGGAGATCGGGTGGCGTGGTTGCGTCGTCACTTGGACATTTCTAAAAGATGGAGACTTTCCGCGAACATGTTTACGTATGCGAGCCCTTTGATGGCACTTGTAACCAAAACAGCCATTTGAATAAGATCAATCAACAAAAGCATCAGAATTGAGTTGAGCTTGGCTGCCAGTGAAGTGCCGGCGGGCAAAGAAATGTCCGACGCCTCGGGGCGGGGCCGGCCCCGGCCTTACTTAGACCGGGGATGCACCACTCGGTGCGCCGCTATTTAGACCCTTCTCAAGACTCTTCCAACATTGCAACGCAAATCAAAACAACTCAAAAATCGCCAAAATGCCAATCTATCACATTGGTATCTACCGCACGCCACTTGTCCCTGAATGCTGCTGATTTACCCTGTCACAGTCCTGTTCAAGCTCAAACCCAACACCGACTCATCCCGAATCTCGGAGATGCGGGCCGCGGGCGACGCAATGGTCGGTGTCGTCCCGGGCCTCAGGTCCTTCACCCTCGGCCCGCCGCTTGCGAGCACGGCGCACCGTGCACAGGGCTTCGATATGGCGCTGATGACGGTGATGGACACCGAGGAACAGGTACTGGCATACGCGGGCCATCCCGCGCACCTCAAGTAAGGAATACCCCCGACGAGGCCGATGGCGTGCATGATCTGATGGGACGACTTAGGCTTCATAAGATTCGGGAAGCCATTTGCACGGAAACTCTGGCGTACGATCTGGTCGTGCCTTGATTGGAACGGAGCGGGAATGGAAGGGAGATCGGACGAACTCCGACAGAGGACGTCCGGGTGGGTTCCGGTGGGTTCCGATGGGTTCGGTGGGCTCCCGCGCTCAACGTATGCGACTGCTTGACCAAGGATACTCACGAAGAACTGTTCCCAACCATATCAATTGATGGTGTTGACGCCAATGGTGCATACTTTTCGGCAGCGTGCCGACTCCATGAAAGTATTGTGATTATTATTCAGCCCGCAGTAGCCAGTCCACATCCCAGCGGACTGAACAGCACAATCGACGGTATTAAGGTTCAACTCGTTCCGAACTCCTTGGCTACAAGCTAGGATGAAACGGACACTTTGTCTCCCGAAAACCCGCCTTGCCTTTTCTTGACCTTGTTTATACCAATGTTGCCTATACTGATTGGGAACAAAACGATGTTGGCCATTCGCCCCCGAACGTCAACGCGAAGTCACTATAATTTTACCTGGGACACGCAAACATCATATGAAAATGGCCCAAAACCCAAACGCTCTCCAAGAACAGTACCAAAAGCTGCGTCTTTCACCAACAAAAATCGAAAAGTGGGAAGATGGTCTTTGAAGCGACCCGTCAAAGTCAGGCGTGTTCGAATGGTGGTATTTTGACTCCCACTTGGCCAACGGCGCAAAGTTGATGGTCGTCTTCCATACAAAACTCTTTGCGAGCCCCAACACCGGCTTGGACCTCAAGATCCAAGTGCAGCTCGACACACCCGACGGACGCTCGTGGGCCATCACCAAGACGTACCCAGCGAGTAGTTTCAACGCCAGCAGGGAAGAATGTAACGTCACAGTAAACGGGGACAAAGACGGTCAGGTCAACTTTTTTCGCGGCAACGATTTGAACGCATTTCAAATTCACGTCGTCGTCGATGACTTGACCATTGACGTACAGCTGATCAGCACGACTTCACCCTGGCGGCCCGGGACCGGGCACGTGTACTACGACGAAGACGAGTATTTTGCCTGGCTAGTCGCGGTGCCCCAAGGCAAGGTCACTGCAACATACCGAAGCGGCGGCGAAGAGCCGGTGACTGCGGAGGGCGACGGGTATCATGACAGGAACTGGGGCAACGTGTCGCTGGCAGAGGTCATTAACCATTGGTACTGGGGACGGGGCACTGTGGGACCGTATACCGTCATCTCTTCGGCGACGATCAGTTCCGAGAAACTTGCGTATGCGATGGGGATTTCCTTCATGATCCAAAATAACGATACTATCGTGGCCGAAGACGCGGGGAAAGTGGTGTTCACGGCGACGGACGTCGGGATTGACGAGCAAACGGGCCGCTCCGTTGCTGATAGGCTTCATTTCGAGTACCACGAAAACGAACTGGTCTACACGCTTGCATATGTCAAGGACGAATTTACCTCGCGGCAGAAAGATGGGTGATGGGTGGTATTTGCGCTTTGCTGGCACTCTAAGATTCAAAAAGTATGAGAGTGGCAAGGTGGTAGAGGAGCATGAGAGCCGCACTCAATGGGACTCAATGTGGTTTGGCCAAGCTCACAGAGATGCACTCATGTATCAGAAATGAGGAGGGCGTTAGAGCGAAGGCCGGTTCAATATTCATGAAAAAATGATCAGAGGTTGAATATACTTCCATGCTTCACTTAGCTGATTCTGCATCCCAAAGTTTTCATCATGGAGAATAGGACACGGTACTCCTCCATCTGTGAAGATTCCGACCTGCTGCTTCCTCAACGGCTGGGTCAACAATCAACAGCATCATGAAATTTCATTTGGTTAGATTTGTAGAAGGCTTTTGCTAGCCGGGTAGTGTAGTTAGCTATCCGGGCAGTACATGCTTTTACTTTAATCGCGGTACACTTCATACTTTTATCCCAGTATACCTAGAATTTCTCTAAGCACAATAAGCTTAAATAATACACGACAAGAATATATTACGATTACAGAATACGATAGCAAATGACGATGTCGATGATGAGAACGACGACAAAAAGGACGACAAAAGCGAGCACATGGGAAACATGGCCGCTTGAGCACAGGATACGGATTACACGCGTGCATGTAGCCACTGCCCGGCTAGTAAAACTCTTGTCGAATCCATAGAAGACGATCTTTGGTACTGCATACTGGTAGTCGGCTTCGATCATCTGAGTACAAAGCTCGGAGCCAGTGGGGCATGACGCGACTCTTGTAACAAGTGACGTTGCTGTTTCACCGCTGAGGCGAAGACATCATCAACATGTTTTGGCTACGATGATCAACCATGCCCAGGCTGTACTGAATGCGATAACGACTCATGAGAGACCATACATTTACCATCTGTATCCCTGCCATCCCAGTCATCGTCGGTCAATCTCCACATGTCCCAGTCAACTTAACGTGCACTCATTATGTTACCTGCCACTACCTTCACCAGTAGTATGTTACCGACAGAGAAGGGCCATGACAGGCTCAATTAGGAGAAAATTGGGAACGAATGTATATTTCTCAGTCTTGTTCATGTTATAGCTATGATCAGGACGAGTAGTCAACTCTACTCATCATCTCTACTCATCATCTTTAGTTCCTGCATTCGCAGCCAAAGCAACCTCCAGAGGGGCAGTTCTTGTGGACCTTCCACTTCAGCTGGTCGTTGCAAATAAGCTAGCACAGTTCATAATTAGCCAATGCTTCGTTTCACCGAGAAATGATTCTGTGCGAAATTATTGATGGGCGGGTTAAAGGCATGACTTACGACGTTGCCATCATTTCCTGGGCCGCAAGTAAGCAAGCCTTTGTTGTCAGGGATGCAGGAATTTCCGGCACGCTTGGGTCCCTGGATGCATTTGGTCTCGGCCATGGAAGCCCAAAATGCTGCGGCAGTGGCGACAGTAGTGATGATGGAGTTGAACTGCATTTTGGGTTGAATGGGTTGAACGTGAATGTATGGAGAAGATGTTGGCTCTTGATGTACATAGTATGAGACTGTGACTTGATGATCGAAGTGTAGGTAAATGTTTTGAAGACGTGCGAATGGAGTCCTTTATATAGTTTTCTTCGTGGGCAGTTCTGCTGCTTGTTTCCCTTGATTGCCCGAGTCTCATGCCTACCAACATCCAGTAACTCATTTGGAACGATCAAACTTGAGATAGTATCAACAACTGGTAGTTGCGGTAGCTTGAGACCTGATTTGTGGGAGCAAGTAACAATCTCCTGCTGCCTAGTGGCACAGTCTCATCCACAGTGGCTGGGGCAATTAGCTAATCTCTGCATCCCTCTCGAGCACTTACTTTTTATTGGTGATCAACATCACAGCTGGTGTCAAATGGAACATTCCTTCTCATGGATCAATCCTACATTTTCGGTCCCGAGCATGGTGGCATGATATGGACAACTAGCGCTAGGGCATTTGCGTGCAGTGTAACCTATTCTAAGACCTGCTCTCAACAGGAACACGGGAGAGACTGGCTGTACCAAACTCCACAAGCGTACTGCACTGGTTTCACGGCCCCCACCTCGTTTATATGTATGGATCACCATCATCTACCCCGCCAATATTGCCTTACGGGGGCCGGTAATCCTTCCTTGCTAAAATGTCTAGCCATTGTGGCACAGCGTCACGGCGACATCACTTACAGGGGTCGCCAAATCAAAGGATTCAGATGATGACCACATATCTGCCCAAGAATGCCCATGCGAAGGATCAAAGTTGTCAGTGACACTCTGTCTCGGGTTGAACGAAGTTATTCGGGACCGAGAAGCGTATTTCAGCCCATCGCGGGAGTGCAAAACGATCAAAATCACTCACCAAAAGGAGCACGCGCCCGACACTAGAATCCATTGAGAAGTCCATCTAAATATGATTTGTCCACACAGCCCATTTATGTCCTCAAAATGCCACAATTAATTAGTAGAGACAGTCATGGTGAGAACGACGAGGACGACGAGGACGAAACCTTTCAGTACAAGTCTCGTGACTGGCCAGTTCGGTATGTCGGCTGTTAATTGTGCTTCTTTCATCGTAGGAGAACGGAAAGGGCGGTTTTGAAATTCCCTAAGTACCTGAGAAACGAGA